GGCAGCGGGGTGGCGGGAGAAGGGGAGCCCAGGGTATGGGGCAGCGGGATGGAGCTGGGGTTAGGTAGGGTGAGGGCCCTTGGGGAAGAGGAGCCTGGGGGGGATGGGAGGAACTAGAGTTAGGGTTCAAAGTGGATAAGGTGCTGGTATTTGGGCAGGCTTGTACTTGTATCACAAGTGGACAGAGTTGGAGATGGGCACTGATGCTAAATGAGCACCCAGGATGAAAGCGGCTACCCCTTGTGGAAGTGCTCTGGAATCTGTTCCTGACTCTGGCTTGTTGCTGTGTGAAGTTCCCTTTGTGCAAATACTTGCTGTGCTGATGGCAGATGGTAATTTTTTTTTCTCTTCCTCTTTTTTTTAGGTTTTCCCATATGATTCAGGACAAGCCCCTCCGCACCTCTTGGGAGCGAAAGATGAAAGAGCGCCAGGAGAAGAAAATAGTCAAGGAATTTGCCCGTCATCTACAGGAAGAAAAACAAAGGGAGCGAGAGGTAAAGGGAGGGGATTATGAAGCAGAGCTTTTTACCCAATTATCCTAGCCCAGTGTGTGTCCAATCCTCCTCAAACTCTATCACAATGGTAAACTAGGCTCCAGAGGGTCTGCAAAGGTAAATGAATCCCAAGATCTTGACATTGGAATTGCCACCCCTCTGCCCTGTCATTTTTCCAGTAGAAGAGCGAACATTGACCCAGTGTGAGTATAATCAAGGTGTGATGTGGAGATATTTATAGTCTCCATAAGCCTGGCAGAATTAATTTTTTAACTTTTTTATCATTTTGTTAGATAATGTTAATGTTTATTTTAAAATGTTTTTCCATTTTTTATTTAAGTATTCACACTTGTGGCATATTATTGGGGGTCGGAATCATTATTTAGAGACACACTGAGATTTAAAGAGCTAAAGCTTTGTTAAAACAAATTGTCAACATAATGTCCAAATATGTAAAGTAAGTGGCTTTAAATCAAAACCAAATAAGTTCTCAAGCAAGATTTGTTCTTACATTGCCCATCTGTACTCTTGGATTACTGTGGCTGGGAATATTTTTTCATTAATATCAGCACGTATAGTAAAATCAGCATTTACTGATAAATATCTAGCCCTTCCAGGCTTAACCATACACCAATCCTGGAAAAGAGTGGTCAAACCACATACAAGGCAAATTTCTCCTTCCAAGAATTTCTGTGCCGCACCAGTGCCTGGTTTCCAGAGAGCAACTCTGTCTTCAGAATTGACTAATTGGAGCAAAGTACAAACTCTTACTGCTCTTGTAGCTTCCTCCTTTCCAGGACCACTGCTACCGGGACTTTGCACGACCAAAACTTAATGACCAAAAGTTAATGTCTTTCTAAGAGTCAGCTTGTTTAAAGAAATGCTCTCCAGGTCCAATATGTTATGCTGCAAGCTACCACTTGATCTCTTTATCAGTCTGTAGGTACCTACTTAAGGAACAGAAACTTGATAACAGAGGAGTCTTTAGTAGATAAACATATAATATGACTAGAAAATGAATCTAGGTAAATGCAGACTAGAAAGAATGTAAGTGCAAATTTAAGCTAAGATTATATGATCACAATTATCTCATCTGGCTTTAAATTCTATGAATCTGCAAGAAAATAAACTTGCTGGCAAGTGTAGAACAGTGCTACCTCCTGGAATAGCTTTGAGAAATTAGCGCAGCAGCTGGAAAGAGATCCATCTTATACATAACACGGCAGATTAGTGCCACAGGTCCCCACAAACACATCACCCCAGTTTCTTTATTTGCTGTCTTTTCTGGCCCCTATTGGATACAGAGTGCAAAGCAAGGGTCATGTCTTGCTATTCAAAGCTTTGGGTGGGGCTGTCTCTGGCTTCCTGAGATCTCTTCTTCTTCCTGCAACCTTGATCCCAGAATTCCACTGAATCAATGAAAGAACCACCCAGTGAGAGAGATTTACGAAAAGAATCAGAATTTCCCTCACAGAGGTCCCTAGAATTATTCAGCTCTCACCCACTCACTGTGCTGGCTTTCCTATCTCCCAGGAAAGATTGCTTCATATAGACACTCAACTAGTTACCAATGTATGAAGAAAGAACCTCTCTGGGTCTGGTGCAAGAGCCCTCTTTGCAGCTCTTGCCCTCCCTGTGCTCTCTTGCCTCACTCTCTCCCTCTCTCTTCAAGTCTTTGCTGGGGGCCTCTTACTTTTTCTGCCTCTTCCGCCTCTGCTCCCATTCCTGAGCATGACCTTAGTGCAGTTTCCCTGAATGGCAGGATATAGAATCAAAGCTTCACTCGGCTGTTTTTGTAGGAGAAGAAGCAGCGCCGGGAAGAGAACTTGAAACGACGCCTAGAGAACGAGCGGAAGGCAGAGATCGTACAAGTGGTGAGTATCCTGGCTTTTTAGCCTCTCCTGCAAGGAGATCCAGAACCCACCCCTGCAGCATGGGGAGGGATTCTTTTGTGTGGACAACAGGGAGCTCAGCTCCTTTCTTCTTTCTGTACTCATGGTGACCCCATTGTTGTTCAGGAGAACATTGTTGTTCAGGAGAACATTTGTGTTAAGGCCTGACACATGCACATATTAGATTTTTGAGAGTTGCCGGGGCCAACCCAGTTTTTCTCCCTGCAGAGACAGGTTCTTGTTGAGTGTCCACAACTGGGACAAGAAGGTGAAAACTAGCTGAGGGAAAGAAGTCCAGATTGATTGTGGGGAGAACCACCACACAGTGGAAGCTATGTGCCTCTGGAATAGTCTTGCTGGTGGGGGAGCCAGTCACTAAAATATTCAGAGCTAGAATAGCTGGCAATACTTTATGGAACAACTCTGAGATTTGTGACTTGCCCCTGTGCTATTGGTGGCCGAAAGCTTTCCACTAAATTGAAAAACTGAAATGTTTCAATTTGGAAAAGCTGCTGTAGTGCCTTCTAGGAGCTGTAATTCAATTACCTCGTGCTCTCATTTGACTTTATGGGCTGAATGCTCCTGCCAGACTATATTTCCCATGATGCACCACAGGCAGGGCTGTCCATGATATACAACTTAACAAAGGGACACTGCTGCATCATGAGAGTTGTACCCTTATCAGGCTGCCCAGCTTATAGAAGTGAATTGGGATTATGAGACACCTGCAGCATTTTTTTGATCAGCTGTCCCCAATAGGTGCATTGTCCCTGGCTTATAGAAGTGAATTGGGATTGAGACACCTGCAGCATTTTTTTTCTGACCAGCTGTCCCCAATAGGTGCATTGTCCCTGGTCTGTCTTGCTCCATGGCTGTTCACATCTTTTCTCTCTTGCTCCATCCCGCCAGATCCGGAATCCGCTCAAGCTGAAGCGTGCCAAGAAGAAGCAGCTGCGGAGGATTGAGAAGCGGGATACGCTGGCTCTGTTGCAGAAACGCCAGGCACAGCGCAAAGAGGGCAAGGAGTGAGGCAGCAGAGAGGGTGGGAATGACATCTCAGGGCTGCTTTTTCTCTGGGATCTGTCTGTCCTGATGCTGCTTTCTCAGCTCTCCTGCCCACCACTGCCTCCTGCCCTGAGTGGGCACTCCTTATCACCTCCCCTCCCTGCTGTGGACTGATTGACCATGCTGGATACACGCTACCAGATCACATGCAAGAGCAGGGAGCTATACAAACCCATGGGCTACACAGCTGCTCTTCAGTGGAAACCTACATTGTCTTCTAGCCCAAATAAGTTCTGTAGTCCATGATGCTAGAAGGTGTCATAAAGACCCCTGATGGGACAGGGTTGAGGTGTTCTCATGTTACCTGACTCAGGGCAAAGAAACCAAAGACCATGGCAGCTGAGCTAATGTGTGAACTGAAGCTCTTGGTGCCAAAACTCTATCTTAATTTGCACATGTCCACTTGTTTGTGCAGCTGGAGGGGGGAAGGGAGCTGCTTCTGGTGTCTGTCTTGTCCTTTGCCTCAATAATTTGATCTTCTTTTAGGAGGAACCATATGGAAAAAGATTTGGGTTTGTCCAGTAGGAACCTGGGTTATGGGGTGGGTGCTGAATCTGTTGTGCTGTCTTTTTTTTGTTTTTAATTAAAGGGCTGTTGTTTTGCTCTGTGGTAAAGGACAGGTGCCCCCCCCAACCCAGAGTAGGCTAAGCTTCTTTCTCCAATCGGCATCCTCACCAGGTTTGAGGGAGTGTTTGTCCTCTGTGCATTAGCCAATCATTGGCCTTTCTGCTTGGACTGACAATCAGGAGCCTGATTAATAAATGCAAGGGCAGGTTTTTATTGTGCCTGGCGGCCACTGGAAATCAAGCAGAGGTGACTCATTGCCTCATTGGCAACAGCTAGGGGAGGAGGTGAGGGGAAGATTGCTCCCAGCAATGGGCTTAAACTGTAGCAAGGGAGGTTTTAGTTGGACATTAGGAAAAACTTCCTGCCTGTCAAGGGGGTTAATCACCAGAATAAATGGCCTAGGGAGATTGTGGAATTGCCGTCACTGGAGATATTTAGATAGAGCGGTCAGGGATGAGATAGGGCAACTCAACTTTGGAAGTCCCTGGGGCCACACTTCTACTCACAGAACATGCTGAGGGCCTTCATTTAGATTAAGGCAAGACTATACAACACATAGACCCCATTTACGTCAGTTCTGCTGATATTAATAAAATGCAACGTTTCCCCGATTTCTACCCATGTGACAGCACTTTTCACAAGCAATGACAGTCCAAGAATTTAACTACTAAAATGCATCTCAGAAGACCATTACATTGACTCCTTTTTTGTTTTGGCTCCCACCCACCAGTCACTTGTTGATCCCCACCTAACCCCAAACCTCACCACGGGTCACAAACAAACTGGCTGTGGGCAGCATGCGGCCCACGGGCCATGTGTTGAGTAGCCCAGGGTGCTTGGTCCTACCATGAGGGCGAGGGACTGGACTCAATCTCTTGAGGTCCCTTCCAGCTCTAGTGTTCTGTGATTCTATACTGCCCGCATGGGGTTAGATGGGGGATGGTGCCCCCTAGAAGGGACGGATCTCCAGAGCCCATCCATATGTGAGCCAGCCTGTGCCTCCTGCCCTGGGACCGAACTGGAGTCAGCATGCCCTAGAGAGACCCTGTAACCTCCTGAGCACCAGTGGGATTTTGGTGCCAGGCCCCTCCCTCAAATGGCTCCCTTGAATTGGGGGTCAGGCCCTGTTCTCTCCCACACTTTGGGGTCCCAGGGGCCGGGCCCTGTGGTGCTTCTAGGCAGATGTTGTGGTGTGTGGGGAGTGAATTGGCTAGGTCCGAAAAATACCCCCAACAGGGCTCAGCAAACCTGGGGGCGGGGCTCAGCAGATGGGAGAAGTGGGCTGGGGATGGCTGCTGGGTATCAGTCTCTGCCCCTCACTGCTGTTACTTGGGCTGCACTGTGGGCCAGCAGGCAGCTCCCAGGACTGTCTCCTTTGAGCAGGGGCGGCTTGATCGCAGTACAAGCTAGCCAGGGCATGATTGCTGAAGCCCCCCCACCCTGCGGTTGTTCCCCACATTAGTCAGATTGCAGTGAGTCGGGTTATGCCAGGCTGTGCTGCGGTCACGTCTTCATTACCTGAACCACTGGAAACTGAACTTCCTAGTCCAGCCTGGTGTGTGACCTCAGGCATGTCACAGCACCCACTGTGCCTCAGTTTCCTCAGCTGTAAAATGGGAACAATGCTGGCCTCCTTGGGAAAGCCCTCTGAGTGCTACCAATGGGCGGAGTGAGGGCTGGCAATGATTAGCCTTGCCTTGGTCATGCGGGCTTGGTACCGTTCCAGTGGGCAGATGGTGCCGTCAGTTGCTTGACAGCGCTTTATGTTCATATGAAATCAAGTGACGTGGTCCAGTGACAGGTGGGTGAGTGGCCAAAAGTCAGTGGGCAGGGAACTGGGTGCCAGGCAGCGGGTCACTGGCAAATTCAGCGTACGGGGAAGGGGGCTCCCCACATCTCAGCTCCCAGCATTTGCAGGCAGAATTCACAAATGACAAAGCTCTTCTCATCTCCCTGCAAGCCAAGCCATCACTTTACTCCGAGTCCATAACATATATGTTGTTCCTTGCCTTGGCTGGGCACTGCTCCAGGGCGGCCAGGCTCTCCAAGCCCAGAATCACAGAAGTGCCCAAAAAGTGGGGTTGGGGGGCACAAGCACCCCGACCAGAAATCCCCCACCCTGCTGTTCTTGCCCAAAGGTGGCAATATTCTACGCTTAGACTCATTTGCATACCTCTAGCGCAAGAT